AGAGTATACTTTTAAATCCAAGTCTCGTATAGGTTTACTCTATAACGTTACTAGAAATGATGCATAAATCAAGTATTTATATGTATGCAAGTGTTGAAGCAAAATAAATGCAAAAGAATGCAGAAAATTATGAATTTTGGAAATATGCATCGTATAAGTCAACCTATGAAAGTTATGAGTTGACCTATGAAAGTCTTGTGTTGACCTAGAAAGGTCTTGTGTCGACCTATAGGAGTCAGCACATGGACAGAGCCTAAAGGCTTTAATACTGCAGCATGAGTGTCGACCTAAATGATGGATGTGTCAACCTATAATCGTATGTGTCGACACATATTGTAATGTTTTGATAAAATTTTGTTTTCAATTCATTTTTGATGTATGATACTTTTCCAAAACATTTTCTTTCTAATGCTAAGATGCAGATATAGAATCAAGGATATCGTCCAATATACATTAACGCTAAAGATCCTAATTTTGACATCATGTAAAATACATCTAACAAAAAGTTGCACTCACATCGCTTCTTCTTGAAGGACTCCGTATATTTTTCAAGCCCCGAGATTTTCTCATTGGAAGAAACAAAAAGGGTATGATCGGCCTCTTGAGCATTCTTAACCCTTTTTAAAGTATGTATCAATTCATATGCCTATTGGTTAGATGAATCATCAACTTCGAATAAATCTCCCCATGAATTAACTCCTCATTAAATAAGTACCCAAATACTGGAGAAGTTTACGGACACCAAAGGCCCTGACTTTGTCAACATCGTTGTTAGCATGAATATGGTTGTATAAGTGATTCAGACCATTAATATCCTTATCCAAAAACTTGAATTCCTCTTCAGCAAAGGAATTTCCGCCCACCTTAAACCCTTTTCCCCCGAGAGGGTCGCAGGTTTCCAGGTCAACATAAGTCGAGAGGCTGGAGCTAAAAAATTTCCTTCCCGTCTCCTTCTTGATTTTCTTTGCAATAGGTGGTGTGGAAACACCAAGGTATGTTTAGCTAGAAACATGAACAAACTTCGCAAATCTCCAATATGCGTTTATCTTATGCCACACAACCCAAGCTTGAATCTCGGCGGGATCACTATAGTGAACATGCTGATTTAAACCCCAATGAGCTTTAGCTTCGACCATCAGTGTTTTTTTCTCAGCAACAGTAAGCTCACTCATTTTATCCGCATAAGCGACAACGGTGAGAAAAAGGAAGAATGCAAGATATAAAATAAAATAGAATATTAAAAGCTCATATATTGAGAAACTTGACCAATTTATCATGGTCTTCTTTATACTTGAATAGATCACATACCCACATGGTCTAAAATTTTCCTAGAAAGTCAACCGCTTCTTTTTCGGTGGGATTCAATTTGTCTAATACCCCATTATCAAGACAAGGTTTCAAGTCCAATAAATAGGAAATCGAACATAACGTCTTCCTCATACATAACCTCGAGAGAGTGAGCGCCCCTCGCCATGAGAAATCTATCTTTTCAACCTTTGTAGTTGGTTGGGAGTATTTGGCGAGAAAATTGCCCAACTATGCCTGACATTAATTGATACTCATCCCCATTTATACGTACCCCCGGATTCATAAAATAAATAAAAATATGCCAATAGTAGGCATAACATCAAGGCCCTGACATAATATCTCGAATCACGAGCATAATCCCATCTGTTAGGACGAAGTTGGGAGGGGCAACATTTAACGCTTTCAATAGTTCATATTAAAAATAAGTAAAGAGGATTCCGATGCCAAAATATCTATTAATGTTAGGATAAAAAATAAAAGTACTTAAGAGATGCATCGGGCGGGTGGCACATACAAACTTTCTTGCCTGGGATGCAAGACTCCATGATAATTTTGGCTTCATCGTCAATATTTGACAAATCCAATTTCTCCCAAAAAATAGTTTATTTATGATTTGTGACAACATTATAAATTGTAGCGTAATACCTTGTCGCTAAAAAAACCGACAGGGAGCTCCATTATAACCTCAACGGAGCCTAAGAAAGAAGACACTTAATCACTGTCACTATTTAAAGAACCACTATTAAAAGTCGTGTCATACACTTACATCGTCTTAAAATCCTAGTCCACCTTACCAAAAGAACGTTTGGATGTTTCTACACACTGTTTCTATAACTCCCACCTCTAAGCCACAATTGTGGGTGGATCCATCGTCCAGTTATTATCACACTTAAGAATTGAGACCATTAAAAAATGAATAAATGAAAAATAAGTTGTCAACCAAAAAAAGGAAAAAGACGTTTGAAATATCTGAGAAGCTGCCGAGGAGATTTTAAACTGTGGCGTTGGTGGAAAATGTGAAGGAATAAGATTTAAATATGATGGGAGAAAATAGAAGCGGAATTTGAGTTTAGAGACTAAAGTTTAAATATACAAAAGAAATTTAAATATACAAAAGAAAGAAGACCAAAAGTTTCTTAGGGAAGACACTAAAGGCTTATGAATATGATATCAATCATGACCCATAAAGAAATGGCATAAGTTCCCATAAATTACAATCATGAAGCGAGGTTTTACTTCCTAAGCACAGAAGCCAAATAGTCCATAATGGTAAATAATTCGACATCTGGATAGCCAAGATCCGAGCCATCACTCATTATGAAAGATGTTAGAAAAAGCCTCGAACAAGTCATCTTGGAATATGGTGGTACAAAAAGCATTACCCATGAACGTTTCGTCCCTTTGGGCATCAACCTTAGGGGACTGTGTACATCCCGAATTGATCATCCTGAGATATGGCGATATAAAAGCATCGCCCTTAAACGTGTTGTACCTTAGATTGATCATATAGTGATATGGCGATATAAAAGCATCACCTTTAAGCACTTTGTCCCAATAAGCCTCACACTTGGAGGATTGTCTACATCTCGAACTGATCGTCCTAGGATATGGCGATATAAAAGACACCATCCTTAAGCGTTTCTCCCCTTTGGATCTCGCGCTTGGGGGACTGTGTCCTGGATTAACCATCCTGGGATAGAATGCTATAAAGGATATCGCCCTTAAGCGCTTCTCCCTCTTTAAACCTCACGCTTAAGAGGTTGTGTACATTCCAAATTGATCATCCCAAAATACGACTTAACATAAGGGTATCCCACCCTTGCCCTAGTTAAGGAGACACCTTTAGATCGCCCTATGGCAGGAAGTCTTTGCACTCAGATACGTCTTTTGAGTAGTCAAAGTATGACGTCAACAAGTTTTTAATATGTTCCCAAATCATACACCCTACAGACATCCGCTTTGATGATCATCTACATTGATGATCATTAATGAGCATTCAAATTGTTTATACCCCTTTCATCAATGGTATGGGTTATATAAGAAACAATATCTCGAGAAGAAATAACAACTCAATTCTGATACATAAAAGTCATCCATTGTGACTATCTCGTGGCCCTGTCTGACTAGGTTCAAAGGGGTTATCCAATGGGTGTTCCTTACAGGAACATAAATGAACTTAGTATAGTCAATAAATGAGTATTGTGTAAAGGAGACATATAAATAAGTTGTTAGACTTTCCGCCTAAACTGTGGTTCATCCCTAATTGCCTTAATCGCGACACTTTAGTTTGCCTCATTGTAGCCCCTAACACCTTCATTGTGTTAGGTTTGAATGGATGAATTCAGTCTCACATTGCTTATATGACTTGTGTTGTGTTTATAAATGGGGGCAATCATCACCTTACAAGCCGGTTTTGTAGGGATGAGTTGACCCCAACCCAAATTCTGAGATGGTATCAGAGTATATCTTAGATTTGGGCTTCCCGTATCATCCATACTTCAGGCTCATTAAGGCCCAAGCATGAGTGGGTGTGTTGGACTTTCCACCTTAATTGTGGTCTTCCCCTAGTCGCCTTAATTGCGACACTTCGGCTGCCTCATTGCAGCTCTTAACACCTTCATTGTGTTGGCTTTGAAGGGGTGGATTTAGTCTCATATTGCTTAGAGACATGGTGTGTGTTGTGTTTATAAGTGAGGACAATCTTCACCTTACAAGTCAACAGAATGAAGGTGTTAGAGGCTGCAATAAGACAACCAAAGTGTCGCAATTAAGGTGATTATGGGTGGATCGTAATTAAGGCAAAAAGTCCAATACATTCGCTCATGCTTGGGCCTCAATAAGTCTGAAGCATGGACGATGCGGGAGACCCAACAATGGATCTAGGATAACCTCTGATACCACCTCAAAATTTAGGTTGAGCCTAACTCATCCTTATAAAACCGGTTTTGTAGGGTTGAGTTAGGCTCAATCACATTCCTTGACATGGTACCATGAGCCTTTGGTTCGAGAAAGGGACCAACTTACTTGTATTGAAAGTCAATGACGCCAGAAGGTTGGTGAGTAAGAAACGTTCTGTTGAAGAGTGTCAACGACACCACAAAGGTAGTGAGTAAGAAACGTTCTGCGTGGTACAAGAGTTTGTGGAAGTAATAAGAGTTTTCACTTGAGTGAAAACATTGTAGACTCACACTTAAGTGAGAGTGTTAAAAATATGACAAGTGTGAATAGTATGTATAATATTCTCACATTAGTTCGAAATATAGAGATTTAAGTATTTATAAATAAAATTGACTTATTATTTTCAACATAACTAATTTCAAATATTCCTAGCAATATGAATCATGATTGGGCTAATGCGAGGAATAAGGCAATTTATTATATAAAGTCTCATGTTTAGTTTCGAAATTGCTTCACAAATAAAATTTCAATGGTCTGTCTATTGAGATTTTCAGGTGCAGGGTGGCCATGGCGGGGTCCATATGTTGATATTAAATGTGAATACTGAAAATCATGCACGCTGTAAATTCATCAAGAACCATACTAAGCCTAATTCAGAAATCCTAAAACTTATAACAATTTTAATTAAAACCAATAACAGAAACAGTACAAAGAAATATGGTATATTATCATCAAGGAGAAGTTGGATACATTTCAAAGAGAGCAACAACACTAGGCAAATAAAATGTCATTTTTCACCATTTCCAGAAAACATTAGAACCACACTTGAACTTATCTTTTCCTTCGCATTCAAGTTCCAAATCTTCAGAAATGAACGGTACTTTCTGCGTAAATGAAAGGAAAGAAAATTAGCATTAGGAAAAGCAAATTATTGAAATAGAAAAGAGGTTTAATAAGATTTGAGTCAGGAAGTGAGACCTTCTGTTTAGCAAGATCTTGGCAACCAGTGAAATTCTCAGGAAACTTGCAAGTACCAAATTGCACTGTATATGCTCTTGCAAAGTTTGCTCCACTAGTAGCTAACCTTTTCTTGTCATTCAATTCCTACACCATATACAAATACATATAATCAAATTAATCTTACATGAGAGTAAAACATCTGAACAAAGACCCGAGTCGGGTCGGGTCGTCTTTGAGAACGAGCGAGACAGTATGTATGATATCATACAGGACCTCTGGCTGTGATAAAGATTTGTCAGACAAGTGAGGATTTATTAGAGTACCTTGTTGGCCTTGCTCTTTTCGAGGTATGCATCAAATACACTAGCATTAGCAGAAGAATCGGAGGCTGAAACAGCAGTGGTAAAAAGAGTAGCTGCTAATAAGGCAAGGGCATTTCTCCTTCCTTCTGATGGGTTGGCTTTGGGGATTCTGGCTTGCTGGGCCTTGATGGATGGTAACTTGGAGCCTGAGACTCCGACTGGTGATGCAACAGAGGGCATGGAGATGAGCTTTGCGTTGAGGTCAGAACCAGACATGACATAGCTACATGCCAACACACTTGAGTTCATTGCAGCCATGTGTGTATGTGGATTGGATTATGGTGATCTGTGATGTGTATGAGAGTCCAATAATGAGAAAAAAATGAAGTCAAGTTTAAGTTGTAAGGAGGAAAAAGATTGTGGTTGGCGTGTGGATAAGGTGAGATTGCATTGATATCCTATTGGCAAATCTTGTTCTCGATATTACACATAGTTATAGGACCCACTAATGCTATTCCATATGCATCGGTGGATTTTTTATTTAGAATACTCATTTTAAATTTTTATTATTAAGTATTAATTAGTGAAATAAGGCTTGTTGTTGTAGTATTTCTACTATTATTTTTTAATATTATTTGTTTTTTTTTTAAAGCATAAATGTTATTTGTTTTCTTACATCGACTTTGTGTGGATGATAAAGATAGCTTCTGATTGGCATGCGGATAAGGTGGGATTGCCTTCATCGTCCCATTGGGAAATCCTGCTCTCCTTGCTATACTTAGGGAATTTTAGTTTATATGATTGAAATACTTATAGAGACCACTTTTTTATTTCCTCTTTTAAATAAACTATAGATTCGCTTCAATTTTGTATCACGATCTCAAATAAGTCTTTATTATGAATATTTTTTATAATAAAAAAAGTGGCTATATCAAACTTTAATCATTCTAATTCTTTTGAAAATTGTGTAGAAGAACTTTTAAAATATAAATTTAAAAGTTATATTTTATAAATTGTTCATTATGAAGTTAGAGATTAGTGATGTAATAGAGAGTAGTTTCTCTGTTGCGGTAGTGTGAGTCTCTGGTACGGTGAGGTAAGATGAGTTTGCAAGGTTAACATTTAAATGTTGAAGTAAGTGAAGTCGGAGATATGTAACTCGTAAGAATGAGAATGAATAAATATACCTCCTATGATGCATGACGAGTTTATATATGATAGACCGTTAAAAGTACTCCTGTTTCATCTGACACGAGTTATGAAACATCGTACCATTAGATCTGATAGTGGTTGGTGGACCAATAACTCGGATCAGATGTGAGGTATTTTGGCGAGACTCCACCTACTTGCCACCCTTAAATGAGGGTACTTTGGAGTTGGGCAGTCTTGCTGGGACTTTTCCTGACCCGAAACAATTGCCCCTAAGTCCTTTGATGTTACATTTAAAGTTAGGATTGTTTTGGAGCTTCGAGACTAGGTTGGTTACCCAGGTTGACCCCCACACTAGAGAAGAAGATCATAGGAGTTTGTTGAGTGGGAGCATATGCCCTCAAGAACATGTAGATTAAATGCTTGTCTTGTAACAGAAATGTTTCACAACATAAATCATCCACGTCACCCTAGGTCCCTATGATATTGTGCGCAGTCCTTTTAGTGGTGAGAACTCTCCTCGTAAATTTCATACATATTAGTGATAATTATGATTCTATGTAAAGCTTTGAAGGTGAAGATGATGGGTCTAGGGACCTTCAAGTTGAGGAGAACCTTGAGGGGCTCGTAAAGGAAGATGGGGGAGCAAAACCCATTGTCATACCCTAATTTTTATCCATAAGATTCCACCTTTATTTGTGCCATTTGCATAACATTAATCACTTTTTGTGTATGTTTTATGTTTGCTAACCCCATTGAAATACAAACATATGTTTTTCTTACTTTGTTTATGAGTTAGGGTTCTGCATCAATGAGTTCAAGTGGTTAATCAATCAGGGTTTAATGTGATGCTCAACATCCCAAGCTACTCTACTCATTCATGGTGATCAATAGTTTCCTTTCATCAATAATCAAGTTTGAGTTTGCATTAATTCAAGTTCATCAAGTTCCAATTTATCATTTGCTCCAAATTAGGGTTTTGGTCAAAATCAGCTTGATGTTGACTTTTTAACCAAAACATGATCTCATGCTTGAAGCATGATTCAAGAGTTTCAAATACATCTTTGTGGTCCATTCATATGATTTAATTGGCTCAAGAAGTTTAGTTTATTGGTAATTGAAGAATTTTGATTCAACTGATGAAAAGTATGTTAGAACAAGATTTGTTCATGACATATTCTCTTTTAGTTTTGATGATAACAAAGTATTGAAAGAATAATGGTTTATTTGATGTGTGTTTTATTTGTGCAGGTTCTACATCATTGTACGTAAGTAATCAAAATTTATGTTACATGAACACACTTGGGAGTTGCTTCATTGCTAGCTTCTGGTGGTAGAGCCTGAAAAACAATTGCTAGTTTGGGTTGGCGCAGACTCTGAGATGAAGGGCTCAACATTCAGACGAGTTACTAAATTTGGTAATTGTACATCAACACCTGGTACTATTCAGAGTTAGTGATAAATGTGTGGTTGTATGTACTGCAGAAAACAAGCAGTATTATATTATCAGCTTGTCAGCTAGAGTCTACAAGATTGCAAGGCTCAAGAAAATTTGGCATGCCCTACGGATATTTGATCTCAACGAATCTATCAATACAGAACCTCTTGAAGACTCAAAGGTTAAACATGTTGCACACTAGATTTATAATCTGTTGTGCATCCATCTTCAACGTCTTTTGTACTATGGAGTAAAGGCAAAGACACTTGATAAAGTTACCTCTTCAACGGCTATTTTCTGCAAAGTATATAAATATGGCTGAAGATTCAAGTTTGAATATTAACAAGGATTCTCTAGATGAATAAGTAGCAAGATCAAGCAAATTTAACTCTATTGTAATATGCAGATTTTCTGTTGTATGTTGTAATTGCAAAAGCCTTAAGATTTATTACCATTGAATATCTTAGAAATCTTAAGAGCTTTATATATTTGTTATAGTGATTTTCTGTGCCTCTGATGCTTGTATCATGTACACCTTGTTCTCTATTTTGTTGAACCTTTAGTAAGTTAGATCAAAGTCTCTTGCTATGTGCTTGTGCATAAGTCTTGTCTCATTGGAATTTAATCAAAAAGTCTTGAGCCAAGATGCTTAAGCCACGTAAGTCTCTATGCTTAAGTGCTTGAGCTGTGAAAGTCTTATTCAACTAGTCTGATTGAACAAGGGAAAGTCATTGTCTGATGGGCATGAGCAGGAAGTCTCAAGTGCTGCTTGAGCAAGGAAGTCTCAGTCTAGATAGTCAGAAGAGCAGGTGGCTCGGTTAGAGGATGTGAGCAAGAAGTCTTAGACATATGCTCTAAGCAAGGGTAAGTTTTAACCATAAGACCTTTGGAGCAGTTGGCTCGGTCAGAGGGTGTGAGCAAGGAAAGTCTTAGACATGTGCTATAAGAAAGAAAGTCTCAGACAGTTGGTTTGAGCAAGTGTAAAAGACTTATGCAGAAGCATAAGTGATTATAATCATAAAGTGGTTATAATGAAAATCTCTTGTGAGGCAAGGGGACTAGAGTAGTCTCAGTTAAGGGAGGAACCGGGATAAATCTTTTGCGTCTTCTACTATTATTTGTTTACTTCTGTTATATCCACTGCCAATGGATTAAAACAGAATCTGAACACCAGTTCTGATTCTGAAATTCTGATCAGAAGTTAAATTAAAGAAAACATGAAACACAATTCACCCTCTTTCTTGTGTACTTTTCACACCTTCAAAGTCAACCAATGCTTAAAGTCAAAGTTTGACTTTTGACATTTTTTTCAACTATTGATTTCTCAAGTCAAGAATCAAGAAAGTGTGGGAAATGGTTAAGTTTGATCAAGTTAAATCAAGAAAATCAAGAAGATATCAAAAGTTGCCAAAATTAGGGTTTTGAAAATTTCCATAAGTACCAAAAATCCGTGTTCAAGTGACCAACTTTCCAAGGTTGTAACTTCCTCCTCAAGAATCCAATTGAATCACTTGAGAGCTGTAATTAAAGATGATGTTTGATACTACTAATTGATGAAAACTTGAAGCCAAAAGCTTTCTTGAAGTGGAATAAATTGATGGTGAAAGTTAAGGTTTCAAGTTGTTGCAAGTTTTAAAACACTTCAAAAACTTTATAAGTTTTTAACTTTTCCAAGTGCATGACTTTATGGCCAAATTGTGAACAATCCAAGCATCCAATTAAACCACTTAAGATTTGCATTTAAAGAGCATACTTCCTACTCCATCATGGTGGAAAATTTGATCCAAAAAGCTTTTGCCAATTGAGAGAAATGGGAGGCTAAAGTTGAGGTCTCATGTTGGAGATCAATAGTAAGATGATTCAGAATTTCACAAAGTGCTAGATCAGTTTGTTTAGCACAACTTTGGATCCAATTTCGAGCACTTTCCAAGTCTTTCCTCAACTCGTTATCAATACAAAACCTGTTCCTTTACATGATAGCTTTACAATGATACCATTTTTGTGTAAGTTTGACCCTTATAATGAGGACAAAACCTACTCTAACTGCTGCACCTGATCTACATTCTTGACATTATGTGAAAAAGTGTTTTTAATCAAAACTTGTTCAAAAAGTTGTGAGATGGTTTCAGATGAGTTCAGACACCAAAAGTAACTTATCCAACCCTATAATGAGAGCTCAAAATGATCATCCAAGCCTAACCCGAGCCAAAGCATATGGTGCTTCCTTTTGCCATCTTTGTTCAAATTGATCCAATGAGCAAATTCCCGAGCCTTGTATCTAATCAAACCTCATTCCTAACCTAATTCAAACCAATTCATAAGAAACTCGACCTCATTATCTCAGAATCCATCAAGAAACACAGAAAACACATTGAGCCAAAAACTCCATTGAAGCACATTTTTTAATCTCACCCTTCACTCCCTTTTCTTCCAATTTTACTTCACAAACATCATCCACAAACCACATAAGAACTTTATAATGCATAGTTAAACATATGTGTTCATCAAATCACCATATCCAAGTTCATCTTATTCAACTTGCAACTTGATTTGGGTGGCTCGTTTCAGAAGGTTTCAAGTGATTTTAAGCATACCATTACATTCATGGGGACTCAAGAAAGCTAGAGGGGTCATTATTTCACTTCTGGAAGTGCATTTAAAAGGGGAACTGACTTACTCTGTTAGGTAAAATTTTATACTTTCTCGAACTCCACTTTGCAAGCATCATTTT